AGCTAAGCCGCAAGTGTGTTGGTGCAGCTGAGCGTATGTTGGCTAACCTTGGGGACCTCAAGCAAGCTCCCCCACTCACCGTGGCACAAGTTCGCATCCTTCATGCACTGTTGCATGGACAAGGTACCTCGGATTGGGATCGGGCCTTTGCTGGATATTGCCTTTTGTGCTTGTATGACGTGCTAGACAATCTGACTTCCGCAAGGTGGCATACGTGGACGTGGATGGAGAAGGTCGTGATGGCTACGTGGTGATCCGGGTCAAGCAGCATAAAACTGCCAGGGCAGCCAGAAGAGTCGCTCAGCTGCTCCCAATCTTGATTCCGTTGCGAGGAATCTCGGACCATGAGTGGTTCGAATCATGCAAGTGTGCCTTTGAGAAAGTTGGTCTTCTGCTGCAAGGACATGTTGGTGCTGCGCTCTTCCGTCCACCACTAGCCAGTGGGGTGCTGGCTCGCAGGGCCATTACGTCGGGGGAAGTTTCCACCTTCTTGAGGCTCGCACTTGGAGATAATGCCGTGTCCTCGCACAGCTTGAAGAGAACGTGCATCTCTTGGACCAGCAAGGCTGGATCCAAGAAGGAGGTTCGCTCTTGTTTAGGCAGGCATGTCACAGCTGTTGAAGGAACCGAAGCCGTGTATTCTGTTGAGCTAAGCATGGGACCCGTGCGGGAGCTGGAAACAGTCTTGGATGCCATCAGACAGCTTGAGTTTTCTCCTGATGCAGCCCGGGGGCAAATGTGGGCGTTCCCTCCTCAGCTGCCTCCCCCGGGCGGGCCAATGCAGGGCAAGAGCTTGTTGTCAACTCAGACAAACATTACCGCCTCTTTGGCACCTGCGATCAAGGTTGAAAGCTCCGGTGAAGAAGAGTCATCTTCCTCCGATAGCTCGAGTGAGTCGTCGGGGTCGAGTGAATCGCAAACGTCGCGCGACCCCGTGCGTGTTGACGCTCGGGCGTCTGTTCCCAGTGTGAACCCTGTACAAGGCACTGGTACATGGGTAAAACACTCCAGATCTGGAGTTCTTCACCATGCCTATGGCGACAACATTCTTGTGTGTGGGCGCCCGCGCACGGCAATGTATGTCTTGCCTTCAGAGGAGGATCTTATGAATCCTGAGTGTCGCACATGTAAACGCAACCTGTGATGCGGTGTGGTTGGAGGAAGTTTGTGATCGTTTCCGATCGCTATGGTGAAGAAAAGAGTTTGCTACATGGTAGCGACATGTGTGCCCAGGGGCTAATGTGAGGAAATGTGAGCTGCAGTGTGTGCTGTTGCCGACTAGATGTCGGATTGTTGGATTCAAGGCAAGGACATGGTCCCTTATGAGCCTTGTGGCACATGGTGCCAATGCCTGGCCAAGGGGCTTTATAGGCAATAGGGGCCCAGGGGCCACGCATGCAGCATGTGTGTGTTGCGTTGTGAATGTGATGTTTCAACCCCAGGCTCGCAGTAGTAGAGAGCGGACATGTTACTTGTGGTACTTAGTGTGTGTGGTGTTTGTACTGCGTCTTCTACCATGTTGCACATTGGCGATGATCAGGTGTGATTTCTTCTTCGACTGGACAGCGTAGCTTCCTGTGCCATGTCTTCCTTGATTGAGTCTGAGGCCCACTTCCTCCAGCGCGCCCGCGAGATCAAATGCCCCGATGCTGTGCTAGCAGAGCTTCGGGTTGGTGGGTTCACTAGCCTGGGTCAGCTGGCTTATGCTGTGGGCCAGCCTGGCCAGGTCATTCCTGAGTCAGCCTTCAATGCCTTCTGCACTACTACCACACCTGGAGCCAATGCGGCTGGCAGGGCCTGCATACGCCGCCTAGTCTTCGAGGCGCAAACCTTGGTGTTGGCTGACTTGCGCCTGCAAGTTTCCGATCCAGAAGGAGCCTCCAGGAAAATGCCGGAGGCGGAACGGGACAGGCGTTTGCAACACCTCAGAGGTCGGCTTCCGGGTGTGCTCATTGAAGGAGGCATGGAACCCGGGAGATGTGTCTTGGAAGACTGCGTCAGGCAGGAATCTGCCAATCAGTTGAAGTACCTCAGCCCTGATCGTTGTGTGTCGAGAACGCACGAAGTCACCCACTCCAAAGGTGCATCCCGCCAGCTGGAACTTGAAAGTTCCAAACTAGTGATCAAAGAAACGGATGATGCCATGAGTATGCCAACTCATAGCGCGTTGCAAGTTCAAGAGGCACTTCGTCGCAGGGGCATTGCCTATGTGTTTGCCCAGTGCCTCTCCTTCAATGCCTACGAGAAGTACATCTCCCGCCTGTTCAGCAATCTTCACAGGGAGCCTCCTCCGGGTTTTGCGCGTTGCTCTGTTGCACAGTTGGTGGAAGCCGATCGACAAGTGTTTGTTCGCCTGATTGAACTGGGAGTCCAACCGCGCGCAGCCACAGATGGAAGCTTCCCGATGGATGATGCGTTAATCTCGGCGCTTGAAAGCTACCATGTCTTAATGGCCTGGATGCCGCTTCCACAAAAGCAAGGCAATGGAAACAAGGAGCGCCGCGAGCTCAAGCGAAAGCTCGAGCCTGGGGACAAAAAGACCAAGGGTGGCCCCAAGGGAGGTGGCAAAGGCAAGGGCAAGTATTCCCTCACCGCTCGCGTCCTCCAGAAAGGGGGTGTGGCCAATGCTCCCACGGGTGAGCCCTTATGTTTCGATTACAATCTGCATGGGGACAAGTGCAAGTGTTCCGCAGCCACGTGCCCCCGCAAGCACCTGTGTTGCAAGTGTTTCCAACCGCACCCTATCCGGGATCACAAGGAGTGACAGTCAGTGCTGGAGGCGGGGCTTGCTGGCTCAACTTCGGACGAGCCCGTGTTGACAGCCGTTCCGCCACCTGGGGAAACTGGATCTGCGGCTCCCGTTGTGGTCAGTCAATCTGTGCACAAGGCTGAGCCCCCAGTTTCCCTCGCTCCTGAGCCAACCTCCCAGCTTAATTCATGTGCTGCTTGCAATGACCCTGAAGAACTTGCTGAGCAACTTTTGCAGGGCCAACTCATTGGATCTCATTCTGTGCTCTCCCTGTGGGAGCTTCTTCCGCACGAGGCTCCCCACAAGGCTGCGTCGGGCAGCTCGTTTTTCACTGGTATGTTCCGGAGAGGGGGTGTGCTGGGCCTTCGGGCCAATGTTTCTCGTTTCCCAAAGGTCACGCAGGTCCTCTGTGCGTTCGTTCGGCAACGACGGCCGGCTGCGGTTTTCACTTCTCTGGCCATATTTTGTGACATCCCCACTGAGCCTCATCGTGATTCCCACAATGGACCGACCCCCAATCTGGTGTTCAAGCTCTCCAGCTTCTCTGGGGGCGGTGTGTGGTGTGAGGGCCCCGGGCACGACGTTCGGCCTGTCCAAGGCTCTCCGGTCCAGGGACGTGTGCTCAATTTCGAGGATGGCTGTCTCGAGCTGCCTGCCAAAGATCACTGGCACATGACTGAACCATGGCAGGGCCGTCGTGTTGTCCTGGTAGTCATGAGCGACGCGCCGGAGCCTACGCCGGTGCCCGCTCCGTCTGCCAGTGAGACGTCCTCCAGGCCCCCGTTCATTATTGAGGTCTTTTCCGGCATGTCCAGGCTCTCGGCCTGCCTCAAGCAACTTGGGTTTGATGCCGTCGCTGTTGACCATAAACGCATGCCCGGCGCCGCCTGTCATGTTCATCTTGTCGACTTGTGTACTGCAGAAGGCGTCGAGTTGGTTCGACGTTGGCTTGCCATGCCCAACTGCGTGGGCATTTGGTTCGCTCCACCGTGTGGGACTGCCAGCCGCTTCCCATGTGAAGTGGGGGACGGTTCGCATGTGGGTGGGATGCTACAGGCGACGACGCCTACGCCATATGACCAGGGTGCGGCCAGTTAGTCCGGAAAGTCGTGAGACACAGACACCGAGCAAATATCCCTTCGTGTGGTCTTGTCAGCTGCTTGTCATGTTGATGTGGCATTTCAGTACTTGGTGGATCGACTGTTGGCGCAGCCTTTTCCTTATCGTGTCTTTCTATTCCGAGACTGTACTCCATATGCCGACGTCCTCCAGGCACGAACAGCAGTCACTATCTTTGTTCGATCTGCATTCACACTGTGCTGTCCTACCTCCTGGACGTATACAAAGTTCGAGTCATGTCGGTCCCAAGTCCGACATGGGTCCCTGTCCAGCTATGGGTCGAGGACCACTTCGGTGGTTCCTGTGGCTCTTTCTTTGGTGGTGGATTGTGGTGGGGGCCCAAGGAGCGAGGGTGGTCGGATCTTCCGTCGATCCGGCGGGAGCAAGTTCACTTGCTGTGACAGGCTCCGAGATGGTTGCAAAGCCAGACGGAAAGCATGTTACGAAGTCAGTGGCCCAGAAGCGTGCTTATCGTCGTGCATGTCTTCGGGCGACACGAGCTGGTCCCAATGGGGCCACATGGTATCGAGGCAAATGGATGACTGCCAGAGCCTTGCAGGCTCAGAAAATTTCTTCAGCCGGGGTGTCTCTCTCTTGCCAAATGAGCAGAAAGCCAAGCAAGGTTCCGCAGCTTCAGCTTCCGAGGTGGCCGCCTCAGAAGGGCGACGAATGTCTTCATGAAGCGATACCTCCCAGACGAGCTGGCTCGGTCAATATCCTGAGTGTTAATCTGGGGGGCATTGCGCTGGAACTATACGATGAATTCTGCCGATGGTTGGAGACAGAGACCACCATAGCCAATATAGACATCATCTGCGTGCAGGAAACCTGGAGGCTCACGAGCGATTACGTTCTTCCGCACTGGTCGTGGCTTAGCTCGGGGGCGGAGCCTGTATCAGGACAGGGAGTTGCTGTCCTTGTGAATACAGCATATGCGGACGCGGCAGTCCTGAGAACCAGAGAAATTCGAGTTGGCCGCATTCTTCAGGTTCAAATGCCCGTCAAAGATGACAAGCAAGGACGCCTACTCAATGTCGTGTGTGTCGATGTACCTTCTAAGGTTTCAGAATCACAGTATGTCTATGAGAAACGTGCTGCTGTTTGGACAGCGCTGGTAAGTTTCTGACGTCAGTACCGGCCCGTCATTTCTTATGCGTTGCTGGCGATTTCAACACGGACCTCCAGCAGGATGCGCCCTTTGTGGGTTGTACATTTCAATGGAAAGGGCACTCCCGTGCCCCGGCCAGGGACCAATCCACTTTCCAAAATCTGTTGCGTGCCCACTCCTTGCATGCTATGAATACCTGGAAACATGAGGCGACGTATCTTGACCACCAAGGAAGCAGATCACGTGTCGACTACATCCTGACGCGATCCAACACGGCCAAAGGACACAAATCTGAGACGATGCCTCAGCTACACTTTGCTTCGTGGCGGGAGGGTAGCAGACACCTTGCCCTGATTGGGAGGATTGACCTCGCCTCATGGCGGAACCTCCGCTCCCGTGAGGTCAGCAACTTTCAATACGACAAGCTTGCCTTGGTGCGTGCCTGTCAACCGGGGCCTGAGCAAGATCGGCTGAAACAGGCGCTGGTGCCTCACCTACCGCTGCTTTATTCTGGGCCCCCGCCCAGTCGAGTGGAGGCACTGCTCCGTCAACTGTATGCTGAAACCTTTCCGGCCAAGCAAGCGACTTCCAGCCTACAATGGCAAAATCCGGAGGTGCAGCAGGATTTGGAGCGGACATGGACGATAAGGCGGGCGATTGATGCAACACGCATTGCACCCTTGCCACTACTGCGCAAGGCGTTTCAAATATGGAGACTCAAGAAGCAACTACGTCTGCGGGTGAAGGAGCTCAAAAAGGCCAGTCGGCAGAGACGGCGAAAGCACTGGACTCAACAGCTGGAGGAGGCCGAGAAGGCGCGGGATGCCAAGGATGCTTATCGCTTCTTCCGTGTCGTTACGACTTTGGCCCCTCGGAGGCCTATGGAGCGGGTTCAATTGCGTGATGAGCAGGGATGCATCATGACGCCTGAGCAGGAGGACAAGGCTTTGGCGGCCTACTGGAACACCATCTACGGCAGGTCCACCGTGAAGCAGCAAGCCTGGACTCTACAAGAGGGAATTGCCATTCGTCAGGAGGAACTCTACCAGGCTCTTCGACAGTTGAAAGCTCGCAAAGCGGTCTGGAAAGACCATAAAGCAGCCCAAGGACTTGCGTCCCATTGCTCTACAGTCGGCGGCGTCCAAGGCGATCACGACCGTTATGAAGTGGCGGATTACACCATCCTTCCTGGAGGCCATGCATGCACTTCCTCAGTATGCCTACGTTCGAGGGCGCAGTATGGTGGAGGCGATAGCGCGGGTGGCTGCACATTGCTCCTCTGTCAGACGTTTGGTCAGGCAGCAGACCATGACAATTCACGACAAGTTTGCGGGGGCAGTTTCTAAGGACTGTGTGGGAGGGGCCCAGCTGAGCATTGATTTATCGAAGGCCTTCGATTTGTTGCCCCGTAGTGTGTTACAGGAAATTCTGTCCACCACCGATCTCACAGCTGACGAGCAGGCGCTGATCATGCAGTGGCATCAACAGGGTCGATATCGCATTAATTAGGAGTCGCGGCAGTCCGGAGGCCCAACACATTGACCTTCAGTGTGGTGTTCGTCAAGGGGATGTGCTGTCGCCGTATCTCTGGGGGTTGTTTACCGCTTACTTGGCGAAGGCCTTGGATGCTGAGAATGGAAGTGGCTGGACTGCCAGCAATGGCACCTTGTACGCAGATGACATGCACTACAAATGGGAGTTTTCTAAAGTTGAACATATGCAAAAGATGAGACAGGATGTTCAAAATATCTTTGCTGTTCTCCGACGACTGGGTATGCAGGCCAACCCAGAGAAAAGTGCATTCCTCATCACTGTGCGGGGCACGCAGGCGAAAAAGTGGGTTCGTCGCTTCGTTCGGAAAGACAAGCACCAAGTGCGCCACTTTCACTTTGGAGGTGGAACAGATGACAGGGTGCCGGTTGCTGAGTCCTTTGCCTATCTTGGGGCGGTCCTGTCTTACAACAACTTTGAGCTGGAGACCCTGAAGCACAGGCTGGGGGTGGCGGCAGGCCACCACGACAGGCTTCGCAAGATCCTGCATGCCAAGCGGGTACTCACGTTGGTGCGATATCGTCTGTGGCAGGTCATGGTACAGACAGCGCAATTGTACGCCTTGGAGGCAGTTGGGGTCACATCGGAAGGTGCCAAGATGTTGCATGTGCAAACCCTGAGACATCTACGTGGAATCTTCGGCTCGGCTAGACATGTGGATGGGCTCTCAGATCATGCGTTTCTCAGCAAGTATGATTTGCCGGACAGTATGCATATGGTTCGAAGGCGAAGTGGCACTCTATGTGCCAGGCTGAAGGATCAGACCCTAGACCCGCCGTGCTTTGATAGAGTCTCCATCTTGGCGTTTGCTACAGCGATTGAGACGGCTCTACCTGAGGCGTATGTGGCCAAGTCCAGAGCGGAGCCCTCTAAGGATGCGGCGATGGCCTTTGCTTGTAGCCAGTGTGATCTTCGCTTCGGAACGCTACATGACTTGAAGACGCATGAGGGAAAGGCGCATGGAATCATCAAGGCCCGAGTTGATGTGACCAAAAACGAGCACGGCATCAACGGCATGCCAATCTGTCGACATTGTGGGGAAAAGTTTTCTAAGTGGAACACTCTTTCCAGACATGTGGCCAGGCAAGGCTGTCCGGCTCTTCAACAAGGACAGGTGGATGCTGCGGTGAAGGCGATGCTCATCACTGAACAAAGGCCTGCTTTGGAGCGTCCGGAAGTTGTCAGTTGCATACAGCAACAGGGTTGGGCTGGTCTCCTGCAAGACAAAGCTTTGTGTGCTGAGCTCAAGCAGCGCTGTGCAGTGTGTTACCAATGGATCGTGGCAACGAATGGAGTTCGCTCACATATTCGCAAAGAGCATGGCACTTCATTTCTGCAACATGAGGCTACTATCAAACAACATCAAAAACTGTGGAGACAAGCCATACAGTCCCCGTGCCAAGTGTGTGGTGCAGCGGTTGTTGACCGGCCTCAACATGCAGGCTCCTGTTCCGTTCTGCTTCAGCTGATGTACATGTCACTACTCCTTGTGGGACATTGCAAAGAGGGATCACCCTTGGCAGTGACAGGATCCGGTGAAGCAGGAGATGGAACTCTTCGGCAGTCTTCGGCCAGCTTCTCGGGGGAAGCCGGCAGAGGTGGTGGAGGGACAGTCCAGCGCAGCGGCCAGGCCCAAAAGACGACGAACGCAGGACGAAAGCTCCAACTCGAGCAAGGGAAAGGGTGGTGGGAAAGGTGGAGGAAAAGGGAAGAAGAAGGACGGCAAGGATCTGCAGCTCAAGGAGGTGGTAGCCCTTCTGTCCTCTCTGACTCTACAGCATGTCGACCAGGTGAGCCGCATCCAGCTGGACACAGGCTTTCTGATGACGATGAAGAACACCGATCAGCCGGAATGCATGCTCCCGGTGATGTTCATAAATCAGTGCGGAGTGGAAGCGTATCAAAGCCGAGGAACCACAGCAGCTGGACAAACCGCTCCGAGTCACGATGATGGTATGCTTGCTCAACGAGCTCAAGCCAGGGCCCTCAAGGCCAAGGACAGTGCGGAGGCACAAAGCAAGCTGCGCGAGCTGAAGTGGTTGAACGACCGGGGGGAATGTGGTCTGGAACCCACAAACGGAGAGCCTGGAGCTGGACGAGACCCGACCTGCCGTGCCCCAGGAAGTCTTCATCAATCAGGTGACGGAGACCATCTCGATGATCGCGCACCCGGGGGCCTTGACGCGCTTTCAGAACGTAAGACCGCTGACGGAGGACATGTCCGGCCACAGTGTGGCGTTTCTGATCGACGTGAGCCTGCGGGAGGAAGGCACGCCTCTGCATCGGATGCTCACCTCATGGGTGGACCTGCAGGCGTGGGGTCTGGCGGCCACCAGACTACGCCAGCAACGTCTTCGGCGACCACCGGCGGCGGAGAAGCTGTCGGCTTGGCTATCCTCAAATTGAGGTTCCGCAATCCCAACCAGCAGTGTTATGTCAACTCGGCGGTTTATGCGTGTCTGTACTGGCTCAGATCCAAACTGGCACAGGTGGGCACCAACAAGCTTCTACAGGGGCTGAAGAAACTTCAAGGCTTGGAATCCAAAAGTCTGCACCACATTGCATCCCTGTTTGATTGGAGGTCTTTGATGCAGGGATGGAGCAGGCCAACTGTTCAGCATGATGTCACGGAATTTCTCATGCATATTCTTCGACAAGGGGAGCGCTCCTCTTGGGTTGGACAGTGGCAGTCGGGCACTTGGATTGCCGATCGGTATGAGTTGGAGGACACAGGATGGGGCTTCATTCCGCTGCATGTGCCAGGTGCTGCAGAGAGCTACACACTACAGCAGTGTCTGGACTTTTGGCATCGTCGGCCGTCGCAGATCTGGGGCGAACAAACTGCGTGTGCTTGCATTGCTTCCCATGAGACTCATGTTTGCTTTGCATTGCAGCGGTTTCGACGCAACTCTGATATTGTTACGCGATACAATGGACACATTTCTGTTGAGCGCAGGTACATGCTTCCTGTTCAGACGACAGATGGAGTGCAGCTGGTTCCCTTCATGGTACAGGCCGTGATCCTTCATATGGGGGAACGTGCAGATATGGGGCACTATCGTACTCTGCTTTGGTTTGCCGATGACGTTTCCTACCTGACGGATGATGGTGTCAGGGCACGGAAGATTCGCAAGTCTGATGCTGAGCTGATTGAACGTGGCAGTTACGTAGTTTGTCTCACTCGTGTGTGATACTTTCTTCGTGTCTTTTTCGCTGACTGCCCGCAGACACCCGTGTCGGGGTAGCCACGCAGGCACACGTGCCGGTGGTTGAATGTACATAGTACAGTTATTTGAAGTGACCGGGCCTGAAAACCAGGCTTGTTCAGTGCCACATGCGCGCTTGGTGGAGCTTGACTCGCCCGCGTCTTCAAAGTCAAAAAGACTGCCAGCCGCGCAAGGGAAATTAAAGGTGTTCCTGGACCCCCTCCTCTCCGCTCGGAAAAGTTTCCGAACGGATTACCGCAGCTGGGTGGGCAGGCCCTTCTCCGGGTCACCTTGGCAAATCAGCTTTACGACTGTGTGTCCGACCTGGTCCTTGAAGCTGCTTCTCGCGACCTTGTTATCGGGGTGGAGAACCCCAGGCAAAGCTTCTACTGGCGCACTTCCATGTTTGCACGAATCGCGCACCTCTTTCAGTTCACTGCGTTCCAAAGTTGCGCATATGGCAGCCGTCGTCCCAAGTGGACGGCTATTGCGTATACTCGGGGTGCATTTGACGGCATCTGCAAGTCCTGCCCAGGGCACTCATGCGCCCAACGTCACCTGCCGTGGGGGGTGGCGCCGGACGCGCCTAACGGATTTTCTACTTCATTGGAAGCTGCATATCCACTGCCACTGGCCCGTGCTCTGGCCCAAGCTTTCTTTCAGGCTTGCCCGCCCCGACCGCTCTCGCCTGCAGGCCTCCAGCTGTCGCTTGTCTGTGGCCAAGTCGGCAGTCAGCCGAAGGCCTCTGTGACGGGGCCCCGTGTGCCCGAACATGCTCGCATTTTGCGGGTAAGAATCCCTCCGCATGTCTCTTGTCCCGTCCCCCTGCGTGCCCGCCTTAAGGACCCGTGGCCACTGCCACACGTGGCCGTCTGCCCCGAGCGCTCGGTGCCAGCCGAGGCCCAGCTACGGAGGGCGTTTTTTTTGCTTCCCTTTTTTTTTTTGCTTCCTTTTTTTTTTTTTTTTGTAGTGCTGGTTCTGAGCTCTGGAATGAGCTTGTTTGGGGTATTCCCTTTTCCCCGGAACAGTTTGTCCGTGAGGCAGTCAAGGCTGGCCATCCCAGAACTCTCGAGGTCGCCTTGCCACAGGTTCTCAAGGATGCGGTGTGCACCCATGCCTCGATGACAGAGTCGGAGCTGTGCGGGTTGAGGGCGCGACAGTTTGCAAAGTGGCTCAAACTTGCACAAGACCTCAGAAGTGAGGAAGATGCACTGAAGGCGTCTATGCACAAACAGGTCTCGACGATCCTCAAGCCTAAGCGTCTCCTCTTTGATGATGTGGCCATATTTGATGAAGTGATCTCAGGTACTAACCTGGGAGGCCCGGTGCCTGATACAGGTGTGTTTGCCCCAAAGTTCAAGCCGGCGTCGGTCACGGTTGAGCAGCTCAAAAGAGATGCCCCCACCTCTAGGGCAGCCCTGTTGTCCACTATCAAGTCCCAGGGGGAGTCCCTCGATCGCGAGGTCCAAACGAAAACCCTTGAGGAGCGCGATAGGGGCTGGTTGTCGGGTCCCATCGAGGTGGACCAGCTACCACCTGATGCCATCGTGTCTCGAAGGTTCGGGATCGAGCAGGATGGGAAGATCAGGTTGATTGACGACTTCTCAGGGTCAGGAATCAATAGCTCCGTCGAGACATTGGAGACTGTGCGCCCCCAGACCGTTGACGTCATCGCAGGCATGTGCCTGTCTCTGATGCGAGTGCAGCCAGGTTGTAGTCTCAAGGGAAGGTTCTATGACCTGGTCAGTGCCTACAGGCAATTGGCTCTGGACCCTACAGGGGCCTGGGCCTCGTACATTGGGTTGTGGGATCCTGACCTGAAGAGGGTAGTAGTGTTCCAGCTACATGCCCTCCCTTTCGGGGCTGTCAAGTCGGTGTCGACTTTTCTGAGAACCGTTAATTCGATTTGGCACCTTGGTGCATTCTTTTTCGCCCTTTGCTGGTCCCACTACTTTGATGACTTTGTGTCGGTTGCTAAAGGCTCACAGGTGGCCAATGTGCACCAAACAATCACCTTGCTCTTCACCTTGTTGGGATGGGACCTCGCCCAGGGTGGAAAGAAGGATGTACCGTTTGCCGAGGCCTTTTGTGCATTAGGGGTAGACATAGTGCTATCAAGTGCCCACTTGGGTCGTGTGACTATTTGCAATACGGAGAAGAGAGTTCATCTCCTCGTTGAGACAATGAAGCAGGCCCAGAAGGACCGGAGCATGAGTGTGCCTCAAGCTCTCAAGCTGAGAGGAAAACTTCAGTTTGCAAGTGGACAGCTGTTTGGACGCCAGAGCAAATTTTGCTTGCAACAGCTCTCGGAGTACGCCCATGGGTGTGCCCCTCCCGACCTGCCGGCTGAGTGCATCGACGCATTCAGCTCCCTTGTCGACATGTTGGAAAGCGGCCGTCCTCGAGGTATGTCTTCACTGATGCTTCCTACTCGAAAGACGATCCCGTACTGCCTTGCGGCGTGGGCGGTCTCCTGTTTGATGACAAGGGTGTGTTGGTTGCTGGTTTCTCTCACGCCCTTGGCAGTGATGCCCGCAAGCTCCTAGGTGAGCTTAACAAGGACACAATTCTCTCACAAAAGTTGGGGTTTTGTGTGAAAGAATAGGAACTCAATCTGCTTGAGATTTATTCCTCATGATTGGAATAAGCTTCATCGAAAAGGTCTATCTTGTGAGATCACGAAAATAATTTCATCTTCTATGTACACATGTGAAACCTAATCCCATATATGTGTTAAAGATTCATCCAGTTACACTGACGCGCTTTTTCTTCAGTCGTGGGGCAAGCATGCACAGGATGCGATCAGGTTTCGCGATTTCCTGCTCTCCCGAAATGCCCCCCCATACCCAAGATTGATACGGGTGGGTGGGAGGGACAAAAATTTTCTCTCAGCCCGAGCTCGAGCAGCTGTGAACATGAACGGGCCAACTGTGGATTCAAGCATGCAGCAAGTCACATGGCTAAAAATAACGTTCATGATGCTGAGGAAAATTCGTTTAAAACTCGAAACACTTTCCGCAACTCAAAAAGGTCGCAAAAAGGATTATTAAAAACCCCGTGCTCGAAGGAAGAGCACTACAACTTTAGTTTGAGAGAGAAATGTCAGGCGAGCTGAAATTTTCCCTCTCACAAAAGTTGGGGTTTTGTATGAAAGAATAGGAACTCAATCTGCTTGAGATTTATTCCTCATGATTGGAATAAGCTTCATCGAAAAGGTCTATCTTGTGAGATCACGAAAATAATTTCATCTTCTATGTACACATGTGAAACCTAATCCCATATATGTGTTAAAGATTCATCCAGTTACACTGACGCGCTTTTTCTTCAGTCGTGGGGCAAGCATGCACAGGATGCGATCAGGTTTCGCGATTTCCTGCTCTCCCGAAATGCCCCCTTTTTAAGAGAGCTATCAGGTAGTTTCGAATGCTTGCCGAATCCATGGAAAAGACTGACATGCGACAGCTCCTGAAATCTTCAGAGCCTCCTCAGGCTTTCCCCGAGAAGGCCCATCAGCGATGTTCGAGTAACTCGGCACACGACATATCCAGGTATGACTTGGATCGGCATCCTCAGCAGCGGCGAAGCTTCTGATCAAGGTGTCCATTGTGTGGGACTTCGAACGGCCTTTAATGAGCCCGAATCGACAACCTTCATTGTCTGTCCAAATGATCACTCGACGTCCCGAAAGGCGATGGGCCAAGTGTATCCGCATGGCCACGACAGCGTAGGTTTCGATTTGTCCAATCAAGTGGTCACCGTCGGTCTGTAGGAGCGACTCTACCATGTCCTTTGGCATCTCGCCTCCAAAGACCTCTGCCGAACCATCGCGCGCGTCGAAAAGCACAGCCCCAACTCCGGCTACACCTTTTTCCCAGCTGCCATCTGTAAAGAGATGCACCGGAGAACTCGGCATATCTGCTTTGAGCTGTAGGGGCCTCGACGACTCCAGTGCAGTTATAGCGCGTTGACATAGCAGTCTAACCGCAACAGGAGAAGGGTGATGTCCATGATGCACTATGGCGTTCAAGTCTTCACAAATATAACGCAAAGTCCGGCCCCCGAAGAATCCAGCTGCGTACCGCAGGAGGCCCAGCAGGACTTGGCCCTCGTGGCGGCTAAGGACTGCTGACTGCTTGATCTCACGAAGGCGCTCAAGGAGTCGGTCAACCCGGCCAAGCTTGTTAGCCACTGTCAAGGTTCCCGAAGATATGCAAGAGATGTCGAGATGCAAGTCCAGCACGTCAAAGGACTTCGCAAAGGGGAGGCCTTTGTGACCCTCTCCAATTTCGGCATGTTTCCAACCAAGCAAGTGCAAAAACTTCGTGCATAGGAGGCCCACCTGTTCAGCGTCTTCCGAAGGCACAAGGATTGGATAGTCGTCGAAGAAGTTTGCATGAGGGATCTCCAGCACGACGTTCAGTAAGAAGCTCAAGGCCCGAGCTATTCTTAAGAAGGCAACGACTGAAGCTGAGGCCCCAAAAACCAATGCTGAAGAAATGAAAAAGATTTGTCGGCCATCGGCATCACGCAGAAGCAGAACGCACAAGCTCCGATGTTGCTCACAAACTGCCATCTGTTTGTAAGCACCACTTAGATCAAGGCATCGGCCACTCCACTCTCTGGGAACGACTCCCGGCTTTCCCATCACGCGCTTTGCGATTTCCATGGCCAAAGAAATGCAGAAGTCGCCGTCCTGTAACTTTAGCTTCATGGTGCTGGTGAAAGTGCAGTTCAAGTCGGAATCGCAGGCATCGTCAATCGGTCTCAGTTTGCCTCCTTGTCGAACGCCAAACCTTCGCATCAAACTCCAATCTGTTCTCCCCAGATGCTCAGAAACTTCCGTTTCACTGCTGAAAGGCCCCTGAAGCCATCCAGCCTTCGCTTCGTCCATGGTCACCTTCAGCAGATCGCGTTCTAGCTCGGGATCGGAAGCACGATTTTCCAAAAGTAGCGCTGCCCGTTTCAAGGGAGCGACTTGACGGAGC